TTCACATAGCTCCAGAAGCGCTTGTTCTTGACATCTTTGGTCGGGGTGTCTTCCTCTGAGAAGATGCCGTTCATGTAGTTCCAATACGATCTACGCAATAAGCGTTGAATGGTTCGGCGGAGTCTCAGTACCTCCTCTCTCAGTTCCATCGAGCCATTTTTCTTCATGCGTTTGTATTGGCGGTCTCTCCTGTGGATGAGCCTACGGATTTCAGCCGTGACCCATGGCTGATTTATCCTAGGTTTGGTGATTTGGTGTGGTATAAATTTCTTCACTGCATCAGTGATTGTAGTCTTGAACTTCTCCCACAGCTCGTCTGTTGTCGCTGTACCTTGAATCACCTTCATGTTTGAGCTCCAAATGTGTTACACAAATGAAGTTACATTTGAATTTTTTTTTTAAATAGAGATTTATAGCCCGGTATTTTTTATGGAGATTGAGTGACTCTATTTACAAGAGAACTCAGAAAAACTATTCACTCCGTCCCTAACTAGAAGATGTGATGGAATTATTTTTTTTTTAGTTTCCCGTCCTGAACCTGTGTAAGCAAAGCTCGGAAAGAAAATTGCCACTTGTGACGAAGGAACGAAGGATTTCTTTCAAACCATAAAGGACATTGATTTGGTTTCTTTTGATCTAATTATTCCAGTTTTAGTGGCAGAAGGAATTGAATTCTCGGAATAACTCGATTGCTTCCGTTTTCTATTATTTATTTATTTATTTTTTGGCCGGTTTCAGAGAACGGTCATTGAACGTTGTCTGCACAGCGTCTGTGTTACAGTGTTGTCATCTGTCAATGTAGTTCTGCTTAAAAATAAACTCGCATACCAAACTATCAGCGATTTGTTTTACCAAGGTATGTTTAGAGTAAATGGTAATAGTGTGAACCGCCTGGCTGTATAGTGTTCTTATCGCCTGGCTGTAGAGTGTTGGTATCGCCTGGCTGTTGAGTGTTGGTATCGCCTGGCTGTAGAGTGTTGGTATCGCCTGGCTGTTGAGTGTTGGTATCGCCTGGCTGTAGAGTGTTGGTATCGCCTGGCTGTTGAGTGTTGGTATCGCCTGGCTGTAGAGTGTTGGTATCGCCTGGCTGTTGAGTGTTGGTATCGCCTGGCTGTAGAGTGTTGGTATCGCCTGGCTGTTGAGTGTTGGTATCGCCTGGCTGTAGAGTGTTGGTATCGCCTGGCTGTTGAGTGTTGGTATCGCCTGGCTGTAGAGTGTTGGTATCGCCTGGCTGTTGAGTGTTGGTATCGCCTGGCTGTAGAGTGTTGGTATCGCCTGGCTGTTGAGTGTTGGTATCGCCTGGCTGTAGAGTGTTGGTATCGCCTGGCTGTTGAGTGTTGGTATCGCCTGGCTGTNCCCCCGTCCTGCTGACACCACCGTCTATTTAAATGAAGCTCCTTGCACGACAACAACTTTCTTAAATCCCGCACAACCGTTTCGATCATCATGCCACTATAGCGGGGTTGTTTTGTTGTATTTTGGGGGTTTTTTTTTTGGTTGACAGTAAGAGCACTGCCTTTGTCATCCTCAATGGGGCCTAACATATACCGTGTGCTCAAACGTCACGCCATATCATCACACATGAAATGTGTGGCTGTTTCTGGAAAATAAGATTTGGCCGCTGAAAACCAAGGAAGAGAGTTGTCTGGCGATTGTTGTAGTCGTTTAAGTGAATGTTACATTTGCCCGAGAACAAAACATTCCTTTTAAAAAAAATGGATTATCCTACACCATGGCCAAGAATGGTCCACAATAAATCATCCTGGCTCTCATTTCTGGCACTGTCAAGCGTGGTCCTAACTCTGTCAGTTACAAAACTGCGCCTATGTCTTCAGACAAACGGCGAACTGGTGAGTCGCTGATGTGCGGTTTCAAAGATTTTCGTCGGTAGACTTCGTAGGCATGGATGCAAAATGTGCTTCGGGGCACGTGCATGATTCTCATTCTTTTAAACAGTGCCTGGCCGACCAGGCTGACCCTTTCGTTGAGACAGTTCACTTCAAGAACGGACAAATTTCTTAGCAATGGACATCAACCGTGTTCCGCGGTGGTGTTTTATAAAATCTCTCTCTCGGA